GGAGGTTTCATTTTCCAGTGAGTACATGCATGATCCAGAATTATATTGAATTGAATCTCTAATAACAGTTAATATAAAGAGTATATTAAATCTCTCATCATTTCTCATGTAGTGTGCAAAGCAGGACCAGGGAACTAACTTATGCGGCTACTACGTATGCGAGTATGCCCACTGCCTATCAAACCAAATATGCACCACACGAGAGCTCGATGTACGAATACATAAACCATTCAAAATTTCATTGCGTATCGATTTTTTAAGTTGTTTATTAATTTCATATATTGATATGTCATTATTTTTCGAATGATAGCGTATTCACATGAGGGATAATCTCCCACACAAGGATTTTATCACGGCTATTCAAGAACAACTGATGGGATTCATCAACGAAGAAGTCCTTAATCCCGATGGTGAATTCTACTACGACGGATCGATAATTCATAACATCGGTCCTTCCTCTTCTGACATAACGCCAGCGTCGAAGTCATAGGTATAGCTAGCGAGCAAATGAATTGTACTATATATGCATGTATATATATATTTATATATGTACACATTTACTTTAGTGTTAATATATATTTTGGTAACATATATGCACATAAAATGTTAAGTGCTTTAATTTATACATATGTGTGTAATATATGTATTTATACATATACACATATGCGCGTGCGTATATATATATATATATCTATATATATATATCTATATATATATATACATATATATAGATATATATACACACATACATATATATATATATATACATACATATATATATATATACATATATATATATATATATACACACATATATATATATATATACACATATATATATATATATATACATACACATATATATATATATATATACATATGTATATATATATATATATACATATATATATATACATACGTATGTATGTATGTATATATGTACGTATGTATGTATATATATATATATATATATGTATGTATATATGTATATAGACATACATACATATATGTATGTATGTATATATATATATACATATGTATATGTATATATATGTATATGTATATGTATATATATATATATATACATATACATATATATATATATATATATATATATATATATATACAATATACGTATACATATATACATATATACATATATATACATATGTATATATATATATTTATATATAATCAACCATGCAGCAAACAGGGCCATGCAAATAAAAAAAATGGTACACCGATCTTTAGTCTTGGTTGGTAACACAAACCGGGACTAAAGATGTTTCGGCCGGCCACGTGGCTGACCTATCTTTAGTCCCGGATTCGTAGTCCCGGTTGGACAACCGGAACTAAAGGGGTGTTACGAACCGGGACTACAAACGTTTTCTCTACCAGTGTCCTGTCGGAAAACCCAATGTCATGGGATGTGGTCGGGAAGATCATGAAGACGAAGCTGGAGAGGAAGGACATACCCAGGGGCATATTCTTGAGCAGCTCCATGGTGTCGTGGCCGGTTATCGGGAAGAGGCATTTCTGGATCCCCACATCGCTGAACGTCACATATAGGAACACCACCGCCGTGAAGAAGGCGTGAACACCGTCCAGCCAGTGCAGCTTCCGCTTGTTTAGTTGCTTCAACACATGTCTATCTTCTTCCGTTAGGTCTTCAACTCGTTGTCCTTGTTTGAGCTTTCCTTCTTTTTCTGCAATACTATCGCCCTCCTCAATGTTGAAGATTCTCAGATGCTCGCTCATGGGCACGCCATTGTACACCTTGCTTTTGTAGGTAGAGTCCCACTATGGTCTTGACTTCGTTGATGGTTGCAGGAACTGCACTATCTACTAATAGTAGAAATTGGATGAGTCTACGGGTCGGGCGCCCAATCGGTTTGGAGAAAAATCGGGCGTGACGTCAGCGCCCGATTTACGTGCAAAACTATTTTAAACTGATTTTTCTCTTAAATTACTTATCCAAATCATGATCCGATTGCACTATTAAATTCGTTGCAATTGAATCTTCAAAACAAGACCACACATGGATATATTCCGACGAAAAAATTTTTAGCTTATTATTGAATTATTTTTAAATGTTGCACGATGTTCCACCAGGTATATCGGAATTGTTTCACTAAGTAAATCGAAAATGTTTCACTTGTTTAAATCGGGTGCTGTTTCACCTTATATAAAAACAATGTTTCAGCAAATAGCGAAAGAATGTTTCAGTTCACTGCAATATTTGATCCATACATATACATAGTGAAACATTATAAGTACACTAGGTGAAACATTTTTCGGTGAAACAAAAAATAAAACGAATTTCTTTAATAGGGGGTTTCCAAAATATGTGGGTTTTTTTTGTTGCAATGGAATATTTAGTTCACTGCAACATTAGATTTATACATAGTGAAACATTGTGAACACTAGGTAAAACATTGTGAACACTAGGTGAAACATTTTCCGGTGGAACAAAAAATAAAACAAATTCCCTTAAGAGGGGGTTTCCAAAATATGTGGGTTTTTGTTGCAATGGAATATTTCAGTTCACTGCAACATTACATGTATACATAGTGAAACATTGTGAGTATACTAGGTGAAACATTTTTGGTGGAAGAAAACATAAACCAAATTTCCTTAATAGAGGGGTACCAAAATATGTGGGTGATTTGTTGCAATGGAGTTGTGTGTGTGGATAAGTGGCAGGTAGGGACAGGGGACATGTGGTGGGGGCCAGAGAGGCTGCTGGTGCGCACGTGATGAGGGGAGGGAGGAGCGACCGATTTTTTCCCCCCTCCTCCCGCGCGACCGAGAAGTAGCATTCTCGGTAGAAATTAATCTAAACCGTTGGTTTTATTTCATTCAATAGATTAGATCTATTTATACTATCTATCTATTACATTCTAAAAGTCCATTATACTTCCTATAAACGCTACTAAGCTGTCACATGGTATTCCAACAAATACTCCTTAATCGCCACATGGCACTCTAATGAATTGGTGGACCCACTTGTTTCAATTACTAGATGATACCCCGCGCTTTGCTGCAGGATATATGTTAGATAATGGTGAAATGATTTGGATTGAAATATTACGAAAATGATTTAAGAATGATGATTTAGCATGGCATGTTTAGTTTTAGAAAGAAATAAATTGTACATATAATTACTCTATGCTCACATGTTGAGCTTTGCATTCTTACTGGGTTGATGTGGCATGCTTACATGTTGACTTTAGGAGTGCTAATAAATACCATGTTTGCATGTTGAGCTTTAGATGTTTACTGTGTTTTAGCTTTATAGAAAAAAGATATTAGATTTATCTGTAAAAAAACGTACACAACCCAAATAAAAACATTTAACCATTTACTTTTGTTTAAATCGATGGACCCATTATTTGATCCATTATATATAAGATATAGACAATTTAAACCGGAGAACCTATTAAATCTATCTCTAAGCAAATAAAGTTTTGACGGTCGTTAGGTGGGGGGCCTGGAATTTTCAAATTAAACGTAGGAAGAAAATGATATTGTAATTTGTGAATGACAATTGTACCCTTGTTTCAGTAAATCAGTCATCCACTTGCTGGAAACAGCATTTCCCCGATCCAAAATCCTAGAGTACGGAGGCCGAAGGCAGACAAGACGGCGGCGCACGCGACAAGCGCCGGCGGCGACACGCGAGCACGGAGTAGCGGCAGGGAGGCGCGGCGGCCCCGTGGGCCAGCTGCAGCGGGGCCCACGTTCGGCGGAGAGGAGAGGCGACCTCGCGCGTGCAGGGAGGCGCAGCGGAGAGGAGCGGTGGCCTCGCACGCTTGCAGGGGCGTGCAGCCCCGCGGGCGTGCGCGCAGGGAGAACCGAGAAGCAGCAGTTCCAGCAGCGGCGTCGATGCTCGCGGGCGCAACTGGATCCAGCGTCGGCACTTGCGAGCGTGGCCAGATCCGTCGGTGTAGGTGACGGTGCTCGTGGGCAAGGCCGGAATCGGTGGCGGCGTTGACGCTCATGGACGTGGTTGGATCCGGCAGCATCGGCGCTCACAGGGCGGGGCCAACGTGCGGCGGAGAGGAGCGGCGGTCTCATGCGCTCGCATGGAGGCGCAACCCCGCGGGCGCGTGCGCGAGGAGAAGCAGCTGTTTCAATTCAACCTGCTTGATGAACCCTGAGTTTCACTCGACAATCGAGGCAGTTGTTTGGCCCGATCTTTCGGTGAGTTGATGATAACTACGATTTGGGAGAAACGTTGACGATCCGACTAGAACCGTACGAGACGTTGTGTTGCGCCTTAGCGATCGATACACCTCTGCGTGGGATATTGATCTTGCCGATGCAAATCAACCTTATTCCTACAAGCAAATCGAAGAAACAAGTAAGAACAAGATAAAAGCAATCTGATATTGCAAATAGGAATTGAATACAATGATAAGTTGGGGTTTCGAATACAAGCAGACGGACGGTCTAGCCGACACGCACGCTGTAAGGAAGTAGCAATGGCTAAACTTTCATCTAAACAAAACCTGAAAAACTCTAAAGGGGTACTTAGCTATTTATAATGTTGGTAGGACGACCAAAGGAACCCCAGGGTCGTGCTCCACCTGGTTGGGGCGCACCCCACATGGGCCCCACTTGGGCCGGGGTCCCAAATGAAGTTATAAGCCCAAAGGCCCATGACAGGTGACGCTGCACCTTGTTTCTTTAACTGCGGTTGACTGGGATGGAATTTGGTGATGATACTAGATCCGTTGGAAAGACGACTCCGAGAGCTTTCCATCAAGTACTCACGGGCCGAAAACGGAGCTCGTATGGAGATTTGGCGGCCGTTTGAAATCAGCAGTACAGCAGGTGGCCGAATCGGATTCCAGCACTTAGAGGCCTTGACCTTAATGTCTTCTTGTTTATCCATGATGTGAGCAATGGTTGTATCCGTAGTAGTCATGGTCACATCACTGCTCGACTGTTTTTCTTTTTTTTTTCTTTCAATTTCTGGTTGTGGTTTTCTTGGATCGAGATGGCGATGATGAGGAACTAGTCATGCACCACTCTGAACTCGGGAGAGTTCTCTCTCCTGTTCTGGCTGACAAACAGACTTGCTACCCATTATCAATCTGAGCCTACTCATCTCATTCCCCTGAAGAAACAAAATCGTTGCCTTTTTCCTTTTTCTTGATTCTCCTGTTCTTGGATGAGCAGGGACGATTTTTGATCTCATCAGTCCAGTGTGCATGCCAAAATCATTGATCTCAAACGCAGGGGTATATTTGTCCATTCACCACACATTTAACACCGTTACCATAAGTTGGCAGAGTAGGGACAGACGGTTGCTTCATTTCAAAAAAAACAGGGGCAAAATCACAATCTCTAAAGAATAGAGGTAAAATTACAAATGAACTGGAAAGTAAGGGTAACAACACAATTGCCCCTGAAGAAGAGATGAAGTCTGGTTTCTCTGTGGCCTCCATTGCACAGGACACAAGTTAAGTCATCATTCTCCTTTGCACAATGTCTCTTGTCAAGCATATCCCTAGTATTTAGCCTATCACTGAAGAGGAGCCAGGTAAAAACCTTGATTTTCATGTCACATTTTGTCTTCCATAGCCAAACATACGGCCTGGGGGGTTGCAGAGGCATGAAGTTGAGCTTATAAAATTTCTTTGCAGTGTATGTAGTTGAATTCCAAATAAAGCTCCAACTATCACCTTGTCCTGGCTGCAAATGCAAAAGGCTAAGTTCTTCTTCCAGCAACAGAAACTCTTCATAGGCCAAGACTGACAAAGGTAGCAAGAAAGAATCCTCTAGGGGTCTTGTGCACATGGCCAACACAGATTCCTCTTTATGAACCGCCAGGCTGTAGAGAGTGTGATACTTGTTGCTCATAAGGCCATCACTCCATAAGTATTCCCAAAAGAGAGCTGAGGTTCTAGTTCGGGGGTGCATTTACCAATTCCTCTGAGAATATCAATGTGGGCCAAAATGTCCTTCAGCAAAAAAAGAACCCTTATTTAGACTGGTGTGGGGGACTTTTGCAAGATAGTAACTTTTCCATACTAAGTCAACCCAAGGCAAATCAGCACCATTATAAAGTTTAACCAGATGTTTCATAAGAAGAGTAGAGTTCTGAAGCTTCAAGTTTACAACTCCCAAACCCCCTTTTTCCTTTGGCCTGCAAACTAAGTCCCATGAAGTTAAGGATCTTCTTGTGGAATTTGGGTTATTTCCCTTCCAAAGACAATTTTTTCTTGCATTATCAATTGCTTTAATGCATGGGCTACCTTCTTAGTTACCTTAATTAATGGTAGTAGAAATAGGGTTTGGATCCCCTGGAGTTGGCTTCAACTCCACCGGGTAGATTTAACTAAATCCCTGCCATTTATTTTTTTCTACGGCTGAGAATAAGCCACATCTCCTAATTAATTCTATCAATCGCATGGATTTGAAGCAAAATTATTTTCTTAACATTTAGCAATGATAACGTTGCAACCAACAAAGTTAACAGAGTATACATGTTCTCTTATTCAAAATGAACAATAATGTGCCAACCGAATGTTTCCTCGTATACATATTTAACACAATTCGGTATATTTTTGTATATAATAGAGTTTTTTTATATATATATATAATAGAGATGAAGCCAATCTTATGCCAAAAAAAAAAGAAAATGTCGGCCAGGAACTGGAATCACTATGTCAAAAAGCACTGTTTCTTTGGACAACTAGTTGTTAGTTATAAAGATTAGATGAAACTATTTCCCAGAAGAAAAAAAATAGTTGAAATTGAGGTGGCTTCATCTCAGCCATAGAGAACAGTAGATGGCAGAGATTTGGCCAAATCTACCTGGTGGAGTTGGAGTTAACTCTAGAGGATCCGGATCTAGTAGAAGTATGAGAGGGCATATTTGTGCATAAAAATATATAAGTGGAGGGATAAAATTGTACTATAATCATCCGTATGAACGCATGATCAAATCTATGCACATGACAGCCAAAAAAAACCAGTTCTAATCATGTCATCTCACATATCTGCAATTTTTGTTGTGTAAATCTTCCCCCAAATTCATCCCCAATCAAACTAGCATTTGTTTGGGAGCTTGAGCTAGGCTGCAACTCCATTGGGATGCACAGCCATGGGATCATCGTCGTCTTACCGGCACTCTTGTTCTGCTCCTCGTTTTCACGTCGTTGTTTGCCCATGTGGCAGGTGACAGATTCAGGAATCTTGATGAGGGATGTTAGGTCCCGATCTTTCGATAGGTATTGATAAACAGTCGATTTGCGCGGAGTCGCGACACAGCTCGATCCAACTTCTGAACGAACATGCTACTAAGCCCCACAATCGCAGCACCACGTCTCCTCTGGTTACCAACCATGCCGAAACCTGGTCGACCTCGCCGAGAAGGCTAATCCATGCATGCGAATAGAAGAACACAAGCAAGAACAAGATAGATTGTAACCAAATTGCATATAAATGATTAAGCACTCCAATTTGGGGTTCCACAAATCGATCTAGCGGCAAAACTCTGCTTGGATTTTGCATTGAGATTTTGTTTCTTGATGAAATGGAAGGTGGAGATTGATCGATGCATGTGGTGGCGTGTTTGCAGCGACGAATTCACAGACGAACTCATTGTCGTTCGTCCGAAGCTCCCCTGTTCTTTTATGAAAATTTATGCAGGCAATGTGATCATATTGGTGTTCTTGCGTGGTTCTTGATCATGACGCCGTCGAATTCTTTTTGTTGCCTTGCTCGGTATGTTTAGTGCAATGCTGGTTTTCGTGGTCATGACGGTCTGGTTCATCTCACTCGCCCTCACCGTGTTTCACTTTTTGCTAGGGCAGTTACGTGACAGATCCTGAAATGTCTAAGGGATACTGATTTTATTGCCCAGACCGTGTGAAAGCTAAAAATGTCGTATTCTTAGAAAATAATGAAGTATGGGGGAGCTTACACAAAAGGGAAATTAATCTTGAGTAAATTCGGGCTAATGTTACACAGGAAATCTAAGAGAAAAATATTCCAATTAATTTGATACCTCCTATTGTACCTGTGACTCAAACTGTGTGGTAGCACCAGTGAAAATTCTGGTGATACCGACTCTGTTGAAAATAATAATGAATTAAATAATGACACTAAAAAAAACTTCTGAGACACATAATGAGAAATTCCACAAGAACGTTCTCAACTGCTAGTGATCGAAAATGAACCACTTAGAATATCATAACGGGAGAGGAGATCTGACATCCCAAATTATTATGAGGTTTATTAAGGTGAAGGTATAGGGAAGATAGATGATCACAGCTCATTTAAAGAAGCGATAACAAGTGAACATTCATTCAAATGACTTGAAGCTCTGGAAGATGAAAAAAAAATCCATGAGTCAATGGACTTTGGGACTTAGTAGAAATTCATAGAGGAGCCAAAATAGTAGGCTGTAAGTGGGTCTACAAAACTATGCTTGACTTTAAAGGGAAAATCAAAAGATTCAAGGCAAGATTTATAACAAAGGTTTTTTTTTTCACAAAGAGATGTAATAGTTTATAATGAAACATTTTCCCCTATCTCTAAGAAAGAGTCATTTAGAATTGTCATGTCACTAGTTGCTCATAATTTAGGACTCTATTAGATTAATGTAAAGACTGCATTCCTTAATGGTTACTTGCATTAGAATGTATACATGGCACAACCCAATAGTTTTGTTCTGGAAGGCAAGGACTATTTGGCTTGCAAACTTAAGAAATCTGTCTATGAACTTAAACAAGCGTCAATGCAATGGTACCTTAAATTCGATGAAATAATTAAGAGATTTGAATTTAAGGAGAAGGAGGTGAATGATTGTATTTATATTAAAACTAAAGGTGAAAATTTTTTGTAATACTAGTACTCTACGTGTATGACTAAACAATTTTTCTCATCTAATTTTGATAAGAAGCATCTCGGTGAGACATCTTATGTTTTAGGTATTGAAGTATACCTGGATAGATCTAAAGGAGTATTGGGATTATCTCAGCAGAGTACTAGAAAGATATAATATGAGTAAGTGCTCTACAACATTTACTCCAATAGTTAAGGGCGATAAATTTAGATTATTTCAAAGCCTGAAAAATAAGTTAAATCAGATCAGATGAAAGTGGTACCATACACTTTTGCTGTCAGAAACCTAATGTATGCTCAAGTCTCTATGCGTCAAGACTAGCATTTGTTAATGGAATGCTTGGCAGGTTAATTTCAGATTCCAGAATTAGATCACTAAAAGACCTTAAAAAGGCATTGTGTCATTTGCATGGCACCAAGGATTACATGCTCACATATAAGAAGTCGTTATTTAGATGCAGACTTTGCAGGATGTGTAGACACTGAGAAATCCAAATCTGTCCTAGGGCAATGTAGGTGGCGACCGGAAGGTCACCGCTACCCTGCTACTGATCGCCAGCAAACCCTTCAGGATCAAGCCGGTAACTTTATCCACACGACTACTATGATTATCTCCCCTACACCGACGATCACCTGAGTGGTTCAAGGGACTTCGTACTCTACTTCCACTCCGGCCACTCCGGCCGACGGCATTATAGAGGAAATGACCAGAATGGCACCAATGGCTTCCAACGATGGTAAGTTACCCAATTCCACATTGGGGTGATTATGTTAGGCTAAGCAATTATTATTTAGTACTTCCTCCATTTCACAATGTAAGTCATTCTAGCATTTCCCACATTCATATTGATTTTAATGAATCTAGATAGATATATATGTCTAGATTCATTAACATCAATATGAATGTGGAAAATGCTAGAATGACTTACATTGTAAAACGGAGGGAGTAGATTACAATATCTGCAATTTTCTTCCATCACTGAAAAATGTATATACTATCAAAGAATTATTTCCTGTACCAACAAGAAAATATAACATATACGTGTTTTTTTTTTTTGCATCCAAACAGATCAACCACTGCTACACATGTGAAACAATACGGCTAGTTAAATTGGATTGACAAATCGCAAGTTGAAGTGAAAAGAGCGAATTAACTATTTGGCGTTCGCGTGCGGCTTTGCCTTATCATCACCTTTGGACGTGGGATTGGAGAACCCGATGCCGCTTCGAGTTGTGGGGAAGATCATGAACACAAAACTCGACAAGAACGACATACCCAGCGGCATATTCTTGAGCAGCTCCATGGTGTCGTGCCCGGCGTCCGGGAAGAGGCATCTCTGGAGCCCCACGTCGCTGAACGCAACGGACAGGAACACCACCGCCGTGAAGAAGGCGTGAAGACCGTCCAGCCAGTTCAGCTTCATCCTCTCCAGTTTGTCCTTTAGTTCTTTTTCTGCTGTTAGTTTGTTGTCTTGCTTTACCTTTTCGCCGCCCTTCTTCTCGAAGATACTCGTTAGCCAGGTTAGCTTTCCCTTCTTTTCTCCATTGTGTTCGGACTCGTTAGAACTGCTCGGACTTTTTTGTTGTCCTACCGCTTGCAGTTCCGTCGCCGTTCCATTTTTGTTTTCATTTTCCTTCTTGTTGTCTGGCTCGATATAAAAATTAGGATCGTTGTCCTCCTTGTTGAAGATTTTCAGGCCCCCCCTCATGGCCACACCGTAGTAGACCTTGCCATTATAGTAGATAGTGTCCGTGATGGCGAAGAAGATGCAGAAGACGGTGAGGAAGGTGACGAGCGAGACGGTGAGCCACCAATTGGAGGTGTAGCACTCGCCGTGGTTGTTGAAGGACGGCGAAAGCGCTTGGTACGCCATCACCGACCCCGTCGGCAGCAGCTGTGCGAGGTTCGCCGATGCCGACAGCACCTTGTCCTGCGCCGCAGGTTTGGAGTTGGCATTCTCTTCGTTACCATTTATATTCTTATGATTGGCAACATTGGAGGCGGCATTATTACTACTTTCACGACGATTCTGATCGCTCGTCATTGTGTAAATATCGGCAACTTTTCGGGAGGCATCTTTGGAGGAGGCAGTGGTACTACTGTCGGAAAATCCAATGCCGTGGCGTGTGGTGGGGAAGATCATGAAGACGAAGCTGGAGAGGAAGGACATACCCAGAGGCATGTTCTTGAGCAGCTCCATGGTGTCGTGGCCGGCGTGCGGGAAGAGGCATTTCTGGAGCCCCACGTCGCTGAACGCCACGGAAAGGAACACCACCGCCGTGAAGAAGGCGTGAACACCGTCCAGCCAGTGCAGCTTCCGCTTCTTTAGTTGGTTCAACACCTCTCTCTGTTCTTGCGTTAGGTCTTTGCCTTGTTCAGGCATTATAATTAGCTTCCCTTCCTCGTCTGCAATACTATCGCCCACCTCAATGTTGAAGATTCTCAGGCGCTCGCTCATGGCCACGCCATAGTACACCTTGCCTTTGTGGGTGATGCTGTCGGTGAAGGCGAAGAAGATGCAGAAGACGGTGAGGAAGGTGACGAGCGAGACGGTGAGCCACCAGTTGGAGGTGTAGCATTCGCCGTGGTTGTTGAAGGACGACGACAGCGCTTGGTACGCCATCACCGACCCTGTCGGCAGCAGCTGCGCCAGGTTCGCCGACGCCGACAGCACATTGTCCTGCGCCGCCGCAGGTTTGGAGCCATCATCTTTTGGAGTCGACGTCGGTGTGTTCGTGCCAGCGGCAGGCTTGGTGTCACTGCTAGCACCGGCAGCCGCATCTTCCATATGCGGCGTTGGGAACATGCCATCGGGGATAGTAACACTGTGGCTGTCGTTTGCTCGTGCCATGTATTGAACCCTACCTAGCTACCTGAGTGTGTGTGGCGCTGTTACTTGGGAGATCAGGAGATGTGCATGGAATGGAGTGGACTGGCTGCTGCTCCGTTCGTTCGGCACTGTTGCCTTTTATACTGGTGATCAAGGCTCCAAATTGCTTCACGATTAGAGCTTGCTTTTGCATTTGTTAATGTGGAAGAGCGTGGTGCAAGGTTGGATGGTCTTGAACAATGCATATTCTTCACATTCACGTGGTTTTCCTCTCTTTGATATGTATTCTAAATTCCTGCCAATCCACTTGGGATTTTTACACATTTAATACTGTTTTCGTGCTCATGGCAACTTGACATGAGCAAACTGTTATCTTCGTACTATACCATGAATATATGCACTGTTGTTCTTCTAGAAACGTTAGGAAATATAGGTTGTTTAACTTCTCCAATGTGCAATAGTGGTAGTATCAACGCGGAGTGGTAACTACTTCAGGGTTTAGCTATTTCTCTTGTGAACTTAATAACGTGTATATATATTCTCATAGTTCATATTACGATCAAACGAACTCAATCAACAATGTACTAAAATTCTTAACAACATGATACACGTGCTGTTTCTACGAGCACATGGACCAGGATTAACAATCTTGATGCACCACCCCAAAATAACATGCCCATCGAGATCATGGTTTTCATGAATTTCAATCGAAATTTGATAATTTTTGTAAGACAAAATTTTCGATATGAAAAAAAAAAAATTTCTTGACATGAGTCATCTAAATCCATGAAATTTCAAATGGTTTGTTTGAGAAAACATGACAGCAATGAGGGGATTGACTTGCTGACACATTTGTTCAGTTTCTCGATTCATTCGAAATCCTGGAAATTTATCTGAAATTCATAAAACCTGTTCCAAGTCTGACGAAAACTAAAACGAACTGCAGTTACAAACACAAACCAGACTAGGGAGTAGGACTCCATCAGGAAAGACAAAGAAGGCTGCTATGGGGAATTCAGCTCCTAAAACAAGTTACAAATGAAATCTTTAAGTCACAATATGGATGGAGAAAGAGATCAAGCAGGCTGGAGGCGTGAAGAGAGAAGAAACTACAAATACAATAGAAATGAATCACTGTACATTGTTTCTTATCAATAACCATTTGAAGATTCTTATCTTTAGTGGGACCTTAATCTTCAAGATTTTTGCTCTGCACCCCTGATGTTATTGGTATCATCTGTCCTGCATTTTCAGAGCTATATAAAAGGGTTTAACACTAAATACTCCATTTTTGGTTAATGTCCACTCCACCTTGTCATTTTGTTCAGTCAGCTGAAAAATGTCACAAATTTGTTTTATTTTGTTCCAATCCAACAATCTATCACATGTTACATTTCTCCTGAAGGTAATTGCTTCCCAACCTTTTTCTTATACCCAAGACAGGGTAATGTTTTTTGATTGAGTGAATCTATAAATATGAGGGATTTATTCAGCTATGGGTCTCCCACAACCCTGCTGTCCCCCCAAAAAGTGTGTATTTTTCCCATTCCCTTTTATTTTTTTTGATAAAACGATAGCATATATAGGGGGTACCACTTAAACTAGAATTGATCAGGGTGACTCTCCCTCCAATGGACTGTAGATTACCTTGCCAACATCCCACATTTTTTTTTCATTTTTTCTCTTTGTTTGATTGCAGTCCTTAATTAATTAAGATACGTTTTTGATGAATGGGGATTCCTAAATATTTCATAGGTAAAGTCCCTATGTTGCATGTAAAAATTTAACTATATTCCCCCCTGCCTAACTTCAGCCTCTCCTAAACAGATTATCTCACTTTTATTAAAGTTTATCTTCAAACCTGATAGTTGTTCAAATGGACACAACATAGCCTCTTGATCCCTCCTCCCTCCTCTCCCAGCTCAGAAGGGTGGCCTCGGCAGTGCTCGGCGGCGATGGATCAAGTCAACCGCGAGTGAATCTAGTGGTGGCGTGCGAGCGGATCCAGATGGCACCGGCAGATCTTGGGCAGGGCTCAGTGCAGCGGATTCAGACGACAGTGACGAATGCGAGGCGGTGACGGGTGGATCTAGGACGGCGCTCAGTGGTGGAGGATCCAGGCGGCCTGCGGGCAAGTCCAGGCGGCAGTCTGTGGATCTAAGGCGTGGCTCAACATTTGTGCTCGGCGGCGGCGGGGCTTGGTGTGGTGGATCTAGACGGCGATACGCGGGTGAATCTAGGAGGCAGCAGGTGGGTCTGTGGCAACAGCGGGCAGATCCTGATCATCAGTGGGCGGATCTAAGATAGGGATTGTTGGCGGTGGGGCTCAGCGGGTGGTAGCGGAGCTCATCGAGGAGGAGGTGGTCCTCGTTGAGGGGAGGGTAGACAGCGGTGGAGGCTCGTTGAGGAGAAGGATCCAGCCTCCTGCGTGGCACAACCACCATGACACAACTGCTATCTCCTCCCGCTCCTCAAATCCAATGAGGAAATTTGTGAATTTGTGAATCGGATTTGGAAATTTTTATTGCTTGGATTTGATTGGGGATCAAATTGAGGCAATTTGAGACTATCGGCCGCTCAATTTTTTTTAGCGCCGAAAATGTTTTTTTCAGGCGGATGGCTTAACTTGGCCGCTTGCGAAAATTGATTTTCACGGGTAGTTGAATATCTACTTGTGAAAATACACGATTTTCACATGCCCTAAGTTCCTAGTGGCGTGTCTGCATGCCTGCGAAAATATGTAATTTAGGCATTAGGTATTTCTCTTGTGAATTTAATAATGTGTGTATATATATTTTTATAGTTCATATTACTACGTTCAGACGCGAACTCAATCAACAGTGTAAGGTTAACATCATGATGCACGTGCTGTTTCTATGAGCACATGCACCAGAACTTACAATCTCGATGGACCACCAATATAACACGCCCTATTGAGATCATGGTTTTTCATGAATTTGAATCGAAATTCGTCAGTTCTTAGAAAACTTTGTAAGCAAAATTTATATATGAAAACAAATGAAATTTTTTGATAAACGATCAATTTTCGATCTAGATGAGTCATCAAAATATTTGAAATTTCAAATGGTTTGTTTGAGAAAACATGAGAGAAATGAGGGGATTGATTTGTTCACACATTCATATGACGGGATTGATTTGTTCACACATTCGTTCAGTTTCGCTTAAATTCATTAGAAATTCTGGAAATTCATCTGAAATCCACGAAATTCGTTTATATTTTCGTGAAGATATATAAATGAAATGTGGAATGAATGTTAGCAAAGGGAGAAAAATACACCAGACAAATAGCGATAAAAACAAGATTATACCTGGCCAAGAGTCCCCATTTTAGCATATTGCTTTTCATTAATCCTCAATGCTGGCAATCCACATTTAAGAAACCATACTTTATACGATTAATCAAGGAAAAATTGCAAAAACCACCCCAAATATCACTCTAAATTTGAGATGCCCCCTATAAGAAGATTTTGTTGTAAATTCCCACCTCCTAATTCACCTTTGTTTGATTTAGGCACCTTCTCTCTACACATGCGTTATTCCTAGAGCATTTGGTGGCGAAATTAGCCAAGTCCCACTCGTCGTGATGATTTGTCAATAGGTTCCTTTTGCATTAGATTGGGTGGCCTTAAACTATATTGAAACCTGCTATTTTGGGTCATCTGACCAATTTCAACAGATGAAGTCATGCCTTTCTAATCTAGCTATATGATTACTGCTTCATGTTCAAGTGTTTCTATATGCTCATTACGTCTATGAAAAAAAAACGAATATGTTGTTCAGTACACATGTCAGTTTGGAATATATATATATATATATATATATATATATATATATATATATATATATATATATATATATATATATATATATATATAGCTAGTATACCATGAAAAACACAGTGTTGGCCATGATAACACAACGAAAAAATGATCGTATTATACAGAACAAACAACATAATCACTTGCTCCCGTCGAGTGGGACTCAGTTGATTTTGCCACGAGATTCTTTAGGAATCACGCACGTGTGGAGAGAATGTGTCTAAATCAAACCAAGATGAATTAGGAGGTGGGGATTTGCAACAAATCTTCTGGGGGGCATCTCAAACTGAGAGCGACATTTGGGGTTGGTTTTGTAATTTTCCCATTAATCAAAAACATCACTAATAGTGTTATAAAGGCGGTTCTCACTAGAACAATATATAATTAGGTACGGTAAGCCATACGAGGTATCTGATGAACTGTTTCATGTTATGTAATTTAATTGAGTGGTTTATAGAAACTAAATTTCAAAACAATTTCAACGGCCCAACAATCACAGAGGGTTTGTTTAATTTGTACGCGTATGTCATGGTTTAGTCCCGAGAGGCTTGGCTTGGACCAACGGAATTATCATAGATGTGTTGGTATTATAAGTGTGTCTAATGTCATTTCAAAGACGCTATCAAAATTAATTAATCATCTGTATTGTCCGCGTTACTTATTTGCCATATATTCTATATAAATGCACTATTAAATCATATAATGGTTATTCCAGAGAATATATGTAAACCGGTCAACTGTGACCTCGGGGGCCTTAGATCGGGCGGTATCTAGCCATGGTCAGGAGCAGGTACAGGTCCATGATCCGGACCTCTTATGGTGACAAAATGGGAGGTGATTGTGTCCTTCCCCCCTTCTCTACGTCTGGTTGTAACTTGGGAGGAGGAAGGATACCACCACATCACTTTTAATATTTACAGAAAGTGACATGGCATTTGTATGATTAGATATTACTCCCTCAGTCTCTAAATATTTTACGCCGTTGACCTTTTTAAACATATTTGACCATTCGTCTTATTTAACAAATTGAAGTAATTATTTATTCTTTTCCTATTATTTGATTCGTTGTTAAATATACTTTCACGTATATATATATATATATAGTTTTACATATTTCACACTAGTTTTTGAATAAGACGAACAGTTAAATATATTTTAAAAAGTCAACGGTGTTAAATATTTAGGAATGGAGGGAGTAATAATATCAGACACATCAGGATTAAAACAAACCTTGAGCTAGCTAGCTTACAGCTTAATTACACCAGTTGTGCAGCATCCGCAACATATTGATGCTTAATTTCTACGAAACGTTTGGTAGCAGATCGTGAAACTCGCATCGCTCCAGCTGTGAGATACCTAGTACTAAACCCAACAACCTCACATGCAAGCATATATATACAATCGTTGTTTCAATACACACCTTACATATTCTAAAAATTGGGTTGAATTAAGTACGAAACAATAGTACGCACACAAGTCTGTAACACAATATTGTACGTACTACTCCCTACGTTTTATATTGTAAAATGGTTTTTGATTTTTTTTAAATCAAACTTCTTCGACTTTAAACAAATTTATCAAAAAAAATATACTAGCTAATATTTTTAACACAAAATAACTAGCATCAAAATATATTCGATGTTAGATGTAATAAAACTATTTTGATGTTATAGATTTTACTATGTTTTTTTATAAATATGATCGAATTTAGGGAAAAAATAACATATTAAAAAGACGGAATAATTAGTTTTGAGACTTGCGCGTCAATCTTTTAAATTAGTAGTATACCTATATGTATATTACACTATATTTATCAGACATTCACAAGACACGTGTGTCACGCCCTAGCTGCCTAAAATGCCATCTGCCAGACTGCCAGGTATGTATTACTATACTGCTTCTGATTCCTAATTGGGTTAATCCCTCCAACATGGTCTACCAAACTTTGTTCTCTGTTATTCTTCCTCCGTACGACTGGATCGAACCAGTGCGGACTAATTCACAAAATATGTCAACGACCGAGTCGTTGATCCGGTGGCACATGCTCTGCTTTCACTCAGCTCATCTAATACCTAGTTCCAGAGTTTCTATAACCCCAATTATTTTTTGTGTGATCGTAGCAAGATCCATAAATTTGTGGAGTTAGGAATACTCTGCTCGAAAAAAATTTTGGATTTGGAGGTGTGCCAAAGAGGACATATAAGGAAGTTTTAAACAATTTGAAGATGAATTA